AGCCTTGCATATGACGTAAGATCTTCCGATTTTCGGTGACGTAAAATTGCATCGCCTCTGGCTGTACGGCTAAAGAAGGAAAAAGAGGGAGTGGGAGATGGAGTGCTATAGGGAGCGGGATGCGGGATGGGAGAAAGGAGAGGCGTCCCCTTAAGGCGAAGGGCAGCCGGTGCATCAGGAATCGCGGTTTTGCCGAGACGACCTTGAAGCCACGCGCGGTTCCTCGGCCGGCATTTCAAACGAAGTCCTCCCCTCCCCATGCCCGCCACCACCCCGACGGATAGCTGCACCACGGTCAAGGCCACGAAACTCTCCCGCGGTCGTCTGCACTCCGCTCTTTCGCACAACCCTCGGCTACAACGTGAGCGCACGAGTACAGCCGGCCTGCATCTCTCTCTCTCTCTCTCTCTCTCTCTCTCTCTCTCACGCACTAACTCTTCCCCTCACATTCTCACTTGCTCCTCGGCGCGTCCAATCCTCTTTTTACACGATTTTTCTCCGGCAGTTCTCCCCCATTCCACTCCCGGAGCGATTGCGATTGCTGGTGTCGTCGTAGTCGTCGTCGTCGTCGTCGTCGTCGTCGTCGTAGTCGTCGTTGTCGTCGTCGTTGTTGTTGTTGCGAGCCTCGATGCAAAAACTCGATTACGGGGACACATTTTGGCGAGGGTTCCACAGCCCCACGTCCCTCGCCGCTCTATCCAAATCCGGTTTGTCATTTAAAAAGACTAACTCTGCAATGCTGCAGCCATACGAGGGAGAAGATACGAAGAGAGGGATAAAGGGAGATGGGAAAAAAGATCGGGGCGTTTCGTGATGTTGCTCTCTGGGTGTTAGGGATTTCATAATGTGTTTACGTTTTCATGATGTCTCTGCAGAATCCACGAGCTTTTTTTGTCCTTTTCATTGAGTATTCGCGTTATCTAATAATGATTGTATATCTCGCGTCTTTTGGTATTCGAGAGTTTCTCGTCGAGTCTCTTTTCGGATAGTGTTTCTAAGCTTAAAAAAATTATGTTTCTAGCTCGTAAGAATTGAAACCGCAATTATGTACTTGAGCATTATGAAAAAAGATACTTTGCAAATATACGTGTCACGCTAATTAGAATGTAATATAAAATGCTATGCTTAGCTAGAATGAGAAAATCCGTTTTAAACAAATTAAAAAATTGATCGACACTTTGTTAAGGTAAAATCTCCGCTTAATGCTGAAGTGAGTGGAAATTAAATCAACGATAGCAATAATTACATCATGCATAAAGAATCTTTTCAATTTTGAAAAAAACGTATCGCCTGTGTTTGCCCAACCGTGATAGTAAAGATAAAAATACAAATTTCAATATAATATGTTCTTGGATTTTAAAAATTGATTTATTTATTGATTTTTTTTTTTTTTTTAATTATTATGTTGATATTTATTGATGGGCATGCGTGAAGTATCCGTAAGCTATGGAAGTGAGAAATTGATTTCAATTTCAATGGCGAATGTAAAAGTCTTTAAACTTAACCGAATGTTCCAGCCAAATATATTTTGTAGTTGTTGAACATCAAAGCTTATGAAACGAATGCTGTAAACGCCTAACATGCACTTCATGCAGTAGATAACCGATTCGATCCATCTTCCCGAGGATAAGCAGTCCCCTCGATTTTCCGAGACCAGTGCCGATATTAATTACACGTGCGAACCGTTTGCGAACCGGAAAATATAAAAGAGCACAGCGAGTGATAGAAATGAAAAGAGAGAGAGAGAGAGAGAGAGAGAGAGAGAGAGACAGCAAAGGGTCGATAATAATTTTTATCGAGAAGAAGCCGCAAGAAGGAACGTCAGGTCCGGTCGGACGGGCTTCTCTCCTCTACCTGCGTTTGCACACGCGCAGAGCAGCATAAATAGGACAGGTTTCCGAGTTGGTGTCTAAATATAGAAAAGAGCGTGTGCGTATGGGGACCGCATAGGTGGGGCGCGCCCGTGCGTATCTCTCTCTCTCACTCTCTCTCTCTCTCTCTCTCTCTCTCTCTCTCTCTTTCATTCTCACTCTCTCATTCTCTGTCTGCCAGCCGATTTCCGCTCTTATCTCGACCCGATACACGCGTATAAATTCATACCTCCTAATTACTCTCCCATAACATCTTGCTCATGCTCTGTTAATTTTCCACGGCCTACGCATGCCTCGGCCTACGCCATCCACGAGGTGCCGCCGTACGTTCATTCATGCGTCTTCGTGCGCAGCGCGTACGTTGTAAAGACGTTCTATGCCACGTTTTTCTCGCACTCGCCGCATATGCAAATACGCTTTTCCGACTCGCGCATTTATTGCCCGCTGGCTTATTTAATTAATAACGTTTCCAAACGTATTAATTTGCTTTTTTAAACCACGCTGAGCTCTAGTTATTATTGCGCTCGTATTTATTAACAGAGGTAAGTAATGCATCCAAGGAGGTAATTCGATAATCGCCAGTAAATCGCCTTTAAAATATAGCACACATAGGCGATCAATTATGAAAATTTGAAGGCGAAGGAAGTAGCCAGTTGGCATGTTTCCGCGCTCGATTGTCATATAAGTCAACCGAGGTGTTGTACTACAACTGTCGATCCTTCATTAGTATTCAATGGCACCTATAATTTTTACTGAATTTGAAAATGATTGCTTGTATATTATGTATTATGAAATTAGGTTAAAACGCTTCGTGAACACATTGTTAGAAAATATAATTAAATCTTACGATGCCTTTGACGAATATAATAATTACATCAGAAAAAATGATCTATAATTCTTTGTCAAGTTTTTATAATTTTTTCTAATGTCGGACTGCAAATTCCAAGATATTTATTACCGTAAGAAATTGTCACGCTACTCGCGTAACCTAAGCCTCATCAATATTTCTAATATTACCGCATCCAAATGAAAAATTCGGTACCATTACGAGGAAGAGGTAAAAATCGAATGATAAAAGAAGAGGAAAAAATCAACTCTCGGGCAAATAGTGAAACAAGCGGTAAAGTATCGAGTGCCCCCCGTAGCCCGCACTTCTTTTTTATCCCCTTAAAATTTCCGTAAAGATCTACTCACAGGTAGTCTCGGGGATGACGGGTATCGAGGCACACTCCAAGTAACGACCATCAAATGTTTTTTACAACCTCCCGTTTTGTCGCCTTTCCCCCTTTCACCGAAGCCTCTATAAAATTTACCTACTTCGTGTCATGGGTCCGAATAGTAAAAAATAGATAGAGAAGGTAAAGTATGTGCGTGTGCGTGTGCGTGTGCGTGTGCGTGCGTGCGTGCGTGTGCGTGCGTGCGTGCGTGTG